GTGAGCAACCATTAGATGCTGTAAATTTGGAAAGAAACTTGAGAGTCTTGGCAAGGGGAGATATACGGAGTTTTCATGACAAACTAAGAGCAAGAAAAGGTCATGTGAAGAAAAATTCCTGCAAACCACAACAGGTCTCCATGGAATATTTAAAAGACTGTTACCTGTTATACACATGTGGAGAAATTAAAACTGGAGAAATAAGACATGTCTCCCAAACTCAGAGGAAGAAACACCTGTCACTTATCCAGTACCCAGAATAGCAATGATTCCTCTCAACCATACTGAAATGTTTAATAATACAGGGATCATGGACTCAGAGTTTAAAAGATTCTAAGAAATGGTAAGGTAATAGTCCTAGATTAAGTGCTATTCTGCTCACATGTAACAGATACTTTAAAAACAAAATAAAAAAAGCAAGTGGCTTGTAAGTAATTTAACTATGGAGGGCAAGAGGTCTCCTTGTGCTTGCTGAAAAGTGCTAGAGTGTTAAACACATGGGCTCTTCTCTCCAGTGGAAGAAATTGGCCCCTGTTCACCTATAGGCTAGAGTGGATGTTGATTGATAACTGCTGATCTTTGCTGTTCTGTGCAGTCAGTCTTCACCCAAATCCCCCAGACTTCTGAGTCAACAGAGCCATCCTCATGAAAGGTATCCCATGTACGTCATGAAAGAGTTTGCTATTATGCTTATTACAAACCCTTCCTCCCTGGGCCCTTATCCCTAGCATTGTTTCAAAGTCAACAGAACCCATTCTTGTAGAAGAGGTCACAGGTACTCTGCAAAAAGACATGAAATTCTCAAGGGAGTCTCGATGCAATCATGCCTTAAGCTTTGCTGTGACAGCTGTCAGGAGGAAATATGTAAAGCAAACAAACAAACCAACTGTTTGGCATCAGACTCCAGAAGTTTGAACCAGCCTGGCTAACTGTATCATTCCGAACCAAGTTTCATTCTTGCCTCTCCATGGATAGTTTACTGCTGGCTGTAACACTTACAGGGGCCCCAACATTTAACCATATTTAACAATAAATGTCAAGAGCATTCACCATGTCTGCAAAACAAAATGCCAAACACAGCATCATTTACAGTGTCTGCAATCCAAACAGGTTATAATACAGACAAAGCAACAGGAAATGCCAATTTATTTCAGGAGGAAATATGAGTCAATCTAGATTGATCCAATACCTGCAAAGACACTGTAGTTATTAAACAAGAATGTTATTTGGGTTGACTTATGCTTCCCAAAGGTATCTTCAATTTCTAATTTGGGGGACCTGTAAGACCTTACTTGAAAAATGGTCTTTACATATATTGAAGGCACGTTTAGGTCATTCTGTATTGGTCCCCAATCCAAGGATTGACATACATAAAAGAAGAGGGAAGTTTGAACAGCGGGCCATATGAGGGGACAACCTTTTGGTGACGGAGGAGAGTATGCAGTGATTCAAGGCTTGGGATAATGAGGAGTGCTGAAAACGACCAAAAGCTAGAAGAGTAGGAATCATCCTCTAGAGCTCTAAGAAACAGCGTGTCTTTGCCAACACCTCAATTGTAGACTTCCAAACTTCCAGACTACAAGAAAAATTAATGCATCTAAATCGAAGACATCAAGGGTGTGGAAGTTACTTTGTTATAGTAGGTCTTGGAAACTAACAAAGGCATCAAATGAGTCACTGTGTTGTACTGGTTTTATGGAGAAAGAGAACTTCTAGAAATGTAAACAGTGCTTTATGATATGAAACACATGTTAAGGATTAGTGGCAGATCTAATATTCCAGGGGAATTTTTAAAAATCGAATTTGGAGGCAGACCAGAAGAAATCACTCAAATGAAAAGCAAGGAGGAAAAAATTCAGTCTATCCCTCTCCCAATTGAGCTATTTTGACATTCAGTGAGATGTTATACTCTTGGGGGAAAAATGTTTCAGTATTTTGTGGGACAACTCCAGCCTATTGTAAGTGCAACAATTGGAATCCTAAACAGAAAGGGGTGAGAAATGGAACAGAAAAGACATATGGCTGAGACTTTCTAATTTTGACGAAATCATAACCCACATGTGACTCTCAATGCCCAGTTGTCAACTTAACAAAATCTAGAATTATCTGGAGAAACTGCCTCTGGGTGTGCCTGTGTAGGACTATCTTTAACCGGGGTGGGAAAACACACCCACTGTGGCCTGAACCATTCCCTTGGCTGAGATCCTGGACTGTATACATGAAAACAGGGTGTGAGTACCAGCACACATCCATTGCTCTCTGCGTCATGTTGTGGGTGTGGCATGACCAGCTGCTTCAAGTTCCTGCTGTCTTGACTTCTCTGTCCTGATGGCATTGCCCTTGAACTGTGAGCCAGAATAAACCTTCTCTCCATCAAGTAATTTTTGCCAGAGTATTTCATCACCGCAACAGGAAAATTTACTAAGACATCACACTCATCTCAAAGAAGTTTATTTTTGTAATCTGTGGAGAACATTTTAGAAATCTGTGGTGATATATTGTTTACTATTTAATGAAGCTACCAGAGATCAAAATGAAAAGCTAGCCACAGCCATATAACCAGGCAGTGGTGATGCACACCTTTAATTACAGCAGCCACACTAGCTAGCCATAGAGTCCAAACAGATGTGGTACACACCTTTAATCTCAGGACTCAAGAGACAGAGGCAGATGGATATTTGTTAGTTCAAGGCCACACTGAGCTACACGAAATTGATCCCGTCTAAAAGAGAAACAGCTCACACAAAGGTGACCTCAGCTCTCGGGACCCTATACCTTTAACCCCAGCAATAGGGAGTTGGAGACAGGAGTGACATGGCTGGGCAGAGAGAAGACTATAAGGTGGGAGGAGAAAAGAGCTCGGGGCATTTGCTTGTGAGGATTGCAGTCTAGGGTTCTGAGGCTTGGTGCAGAGCAGCACATTCTGGAGATGCAATCTGAGGTTCAGTGGATCGCCCCTTCAGTCTGAGCATTGGTAGAGGTGAGAACTCTCTAGTGACTGGCTGCTTTGCTTTTCTGATCTTCAGTTTGAACACCAATATCTGTTTCTGGGTTTTTATTGTTCGTGTTACAGAAATCCACAATTGGACAAATGCAGAGAGCAAATGACCACTTAGTACCCAACTCTAAATGATGCATCTACAACATAACCCCTATACCTATAGCTTAAGGGGCACTGTAAGAGAGGGAGGTGGAAAGATTGTAAGTACCAGAAGACTAGGATGTCTTACTTCTGAGACAGAGCATCTTCTCTATATGACAGGAAAGCTACACCCTTGAAATCCCAACAAAATGGTCACCTAAACAAGACATGCACAACAACACCACCAGTTGACATGCCCATGTGGATGGACTATAATATGGAATCTATGAACTGAAAATATACTGCCTTGAGAATATTCATGAAATTAACAAAGCTCTCAGTATGTCAATGTGAAAAACAGAATGAAGACACAAAATGGCAATATTGGGTATGAGAGGGTCAACATTACTGCGTGTTTGTATTGAGATAATACTGTAAACAATGCTGTGGCAATGAAGACAGCAATAGATAACTAATCCTTTATAAGAATAAAAGCTACCAAACTGTCTTAACGAGAATGAAAGAACCTGAATAACGTTACACTTGTTTTTAGAAGTCAAATTTTTAGTGAAAACTTAATATTTAGGTGGCTTCGCTGGTAAATTCTACCAGATAAGAACAAAATATTAAATTGTATAGGAACTCTAATACGATGTAGACTGAAGGAAATATTTCTCAACTCAGTCTGTGATGAAAGAATCAATTACTGAGAAACTAAAGAAAAGAGTAACAGAACCTTTCCCTTAAGAACATCTACATGAAACTCTCAAACAGAATTTCAGAGAAGTTACTGCAAAAATGCATTACAAACTGCCAAAGAGCATTTATCCCTGGGTTTAAGGTGGGTTCAACATTCAAAATGCATGCACTATAATTCTTCACATTTACAAATTGCCATGGGACCACCACAATGAAGATTGAGAAAATTTATTTTCCCAGAAAAATCCCTGGATGTCCATTTGTAGTCAGCCTCTTTTGAGATTTCAGCCCTTTGGGGTCTCATATAGCCCATGTGGCCTAGAACTTGCTGTGTAGTCAAGGACCTTGGTCCTCCTGCCTCTGACTCTCACATGCTGGGGTTACAGAAGTGTACTGCCACTCCAAGCATGCTTAGGGAAGCACTCTGTCAACTGAGCTACATCCCCAGCCCTAATGTCATGTATATGAATGCTCACATATAAATACACAATGTTTTGAATTTGGTTTCACTTTCAAGATTTGTATATGTTGTGTCAACTAGTGCTGGGTTCATTTTACTGTGAAATAGTGTCTGTGCATTCACTATCTTCTTGAAGAAGATGTGGGGTTGTTTGTACTTTGGGGTGACTATTAATAAAGTTTCCATAAACACTCGAATGCATGTATCTTAAGTGTACAGTTCAGTGGATCTTAATATTTACCTGCCCTTGACCTCCAGCCTAGTGAATCTTGTATTTTCAGAGTTTTCTCTCCTAATGAATCCTTGGATTCCCAGCACCCTAGCCTTTCCATCCTGTTCTAGAGTTACATATAAAAGAAACCTTTTAGCGTATCAGGAATTAGTATTCCTTTTGGTCCTAAAAGAATAGTAAACAGTTATGCTTTCAAGAAGAAAACTGACAATCTAGTTTACGTTTGTTATTAATATTTTTCAGCGTGCGAAGAATAATAATGTTCTTTTTACTCTTGTTTTCTGGACAGGATGAAGGGGGAATTTCTAGATTTCTAAGCGGGCTCCCTCCTGTTGGCAAAACCAGATTGTCACCGCGCAGCAATGGGACCTGCACACGCAGTTCCCAGTTCTCCACAGCAGATGGCCCCAGAGCCCAGCGCCTGACTTCACGGAGTTGCTCAGGTTTTGCATCTTAAAGACCTCAGCAGGTTTAGCAGCTTGAGAATCACTGAAGCGAGTGACGTCCCAGGCTGCTCCAGCATCGAAAATCCTCTCGGAGTGTCACATTCCACTTCGGCTGCACCCTGAGCTGGTTCCGGCTGTGCTGTCGGCTCCAATTCTCAGCAAAGGTGACTTTAACCTGGAGAAGCCGAAGTTCCAGCGGACACTAGAGTGTCCCACAATTATCTTCTCCTTGGTGACATTAGACGAAACCTACGGGGTGGGTCCCCGGTCTCTGCTTAAAGGCTGCTCAGCCAAGAAAGCTGGCTCCAGGAATTCGGAGAGAGGGGAAGAAGAGGGCGCCTCTATGAGGCTTTAGGAAAAGCTAATGGGTAGGACTGAGACTACAGGTTGGATGTCTCGGAACAGAAAGAGCTGCGAGGCTGATCAAGTGCAGCAAGCTGGCTTGTTTGGATGGAGAGTTGCCTAGGCAAGCTGAGTACTTGAGAGCCTCTCCTGCCCTTCTCCAGAGTGCTTTCCAGCGATGAGGTCACAGGCCCTCGGAACCCTCCTCCTCCCTCCAGTCCCTCCCGCTCCCCAGTCTCCTCCAGCTTCAGGCGCTGGGCACTGAGAATGAGGCGACAGTGCGCAACCATGAAGTAGCGCAGGAGGTCCCTTGGAAAATGAGGCCAGGGTACCTGCTGCAGCTTGCGCTCCTGCTTGCCCTGCCCAGGAGCCTGTGGGGCAGAGGGTGTGTGTCTCCACCCTGTGAATGCCACCAGGAGGACAACTTCAGAGTCACCTGCAAGGAACTCCACCGCATCCCCAGCCTACCACCCAGCACCCAGACTCTGTGAGTAGCCAAGGCCAAGGCCCCTAGATAGAAACTCATGGTGTGTGGTGGGGTGCGCCGGTGGCTGGTTAGTCCCGGAACAAACTCAGTTGCACATACTTGGGAAGGTCGTCTGCGCTGCTGACACAGGGAAACAGAACCCTTAACAAAACTTGGGTACAAGATGACATTGAGAGTTGTATTTTCTGAAGAGCTACTATTTTTTTTTGAGTTAAGCAATCATGTAGGGTTTCTTGTCTTGGTTTTATATTTAATAAAGAATATAAAGGGGGTCAGAGAGATGACTCAGTGGGTGAAGGAATGTTTCATACAAACCCAAGGACCTGAGATCCGAACCCGTGTAAGCACACAGTTTTTATACTATGTATGTTCACATTTGTAATCTTAGAGCTCCTAGGAAAAGAGGATATGAGTAGACAGGAGAATTATCCAGAAGCTCTTGAATAGCGAGCCTAGAGTATTCTGGGCAACAAACAACAATAAAGACACTGCCACAACACGGTAGAGGTTGAGAACCAACTTCTGAATATTGTCCTTTGATCTACACAAAGGCACATGCATGTGTGTGCACACATGTATACACACACACACCACAAAAGACAAAAAAATATGAGCAAACTAGCAGTGTAAAATAGCATCAACAATTATAATAGACTTGATGACAAAATTATTTTATGTTAAACTAAGATTGACTTAATCCTGTGTCCATAACAGATTGGCCATAACAGTTTGGCTCAAAGCAGTCACTGCACATTGTGAACTCTATACTAGCTGAGTATGTACATTGAAACCCTCCTTAGGGGCTACTCCATATAACTGAGGAATTGAACTTTAACTAATCATAGCCATTGAATTGGCAGTCAATATGAAGCTGAAAGCTACCAGTATTACAATACACAGTAAACAGTGATGGCTGGTCATTAAGTTGTTTCCAAATGTCACTTGCTTTTCTCTGGCTACAACTACAAGGAACAAAAGTGAATATTGGGTAGTAATGAACCATTGTCAGTCCTCTCTAATTTCAATTATTTTGTTGCTCAAAAATAATTGAAATTTCTGCTCTCTGGGGAGGGTGACACCTTCCATAGGGGATCTTCAAAGTCTGTCATATCATTTGGAGCAGGGCTGTGTGTCTAGGCTGAGAGAGTATCCCTCTATGTGGAGTGGGCTCCCAAAGTCCATTTGTGTGCTAGGGATAAATACTGATCCACTACCAGAGGCCCCATAGATTAACCAGATATTCAAACTGATATCCTCAGGGGGTCTGGAACAGTCCTATGCTGGTTTCCCAGCTATCAGTCTGGAGTCCATGAGGCCCCCTTATTCAGGTCAGCTGTTTCTGTGGGTCTCTCCAGCCTGGTCTTGACCCCTTTGCTCATCACTCCTCCCTCTCTGCAACTGGACTCCAGAATTCAGCTCAGTGTTTAGCTGTGAGTGTCTGCTTCTGCTTCCATCAGCTACTGGATGAAGGCTCTAGGGTGGCAATTAAGGTAGTCATCAATCTCATTATCAGGGAAGGGCATTTAAGGTAGCCTCTCCACTATTGCTTAGATTGTTAGTTGGAGGCAGCCTTGTAGTTCTCTGGTCATTTCCCTAGTGTCAGATTTCTCTCTGTCTATATTTTTACTAACTCCTAGCATCCGTTGAATTTTAGTTTCACTCTAAGTAAAACAACTTAAGATGTAAAACAACTTAAGAACTAACTTTAAAAAATTATCTTAGATAATGAAATTGCTCCTCTCCTTTCAGTCTCCCTAGGTGAGAAATTACCTTAGCCATTTGACTTATCAAATAATAGTTAAAAACTTAATCAGAGATGGGCAGAGTGGCTCTTGCCTTTAACCCCAGCAGTCAGGAGGCAAAGGCAGGTGGATCTCTGTGAATTCTGGGCCAACATGTTCTACAGAGTGAGTTCCAGGACAGCCAGGACAATGTAAAGAGATCCTGTCCCCAAACAAACAAACCAAACAACAACAACAAAAACTTAATCATGAACCCATTTATAAATGTATCTGTGGACATATCGGAATAAAGAAGGATTCCAGAGAAAATTGGAGGACAATAAGAAAAGGGAGTTGGGGAGAAGGGATGAATATATATATATATATATGAATATGTGTGTGTATGCATGTATGTATGCATGTGTGTGTGAAATTATAAAAGAGTAAATTAAATTTCTTTTACAATAATAAAAAGTAGAGTGTACCTTTCATCCAATATGTATAGATCCTAACTGTGAACTGCCCAACCTGTACCACCACTTAGCATATCCAGAATTTCTTTTTAATACACATGAGGAAAGAGATGAGATTCCATAATTTTAATACACATGAGGAAAGAGATGAGATTCCATAAAGCACATTTTCATCTGCGTTATAAATGTTAGGTTCTTAACCAACATTTAAATCAGTGATCAATAAAACGGATTGGTTAAAAATACCTCAGAAAGAATGTTAAGATAAAGGGGCTGCTCACCCCCAGAGGATGTGGAGATAAATTAAAAGCAATCCTACTTTAAGATTTTCTCAAGAATGTTTCTTGTAGGAGCAGTCATCAGATGACTGCTTCACAGGTGCACGTTTCTGTATTCTTCTGCGTCCATTAGTTGAAACTCATCCACCACCTTTGTCTCTTATTTCCCATGGGTGTTACTCCAACAACCTCTGAGTAGCACTTCATTCTCCATACTGTCTGCACAGAATAAAACACATAGTGATGAAACCCTACCATGGGTACAGATAGTTTCAACAATGAAACTCTTGTTCAAACTTCAAAATCCAGAAGATCATCTGTTTGTATGCTTATCCAAGAAGGCTGAATACCTGCAACCTCGAATTCCAAACCAGCCAGCCCACAAAAACAACAACAACAAAAAAAAAAAACCTCAAGTGAATGAGACTGTCAGAAGCAGAAAGACATCCCTTCTTGACAGAGTTATCAGGAATGGGGAGAAACGAGTTTCTGTGAGTGCAAAGGAACTCCCTATCACCCACAAAGTGTTGGGAAAGGGAAATGCTGGAAGTTAGATCATTCATTAACAGGACTCAGTTTTTCTTCTACTTAAAAGAGGCTTCTGATGCTGTGGTGGGTGGGAAGGAAAAAATCACTGACTCACAGGGACTGATTGCACAGAAACAGGTGGATCTGACCTTGAGCGTTGTAGAGGTCAGGTGCTAGACCCTGAAGAGGGAGGACACTCTGAGATGGGGAAGATGCCGCTGATTTTATTTTTAAGTGCGGGTGAATGGCACTGTATGTTTGCTCAATGGCCTGAGCGATGTTCTCTCACAGGATTTAAGCTGTTAGAGTGTATCGCTTCTTCAAACTTTGCTAGTGCTTTTTGTTAGCATATATTGATGATACATAATAATGGAATTCATATGACATGTTTATAATGTATATAAATGATCACATTCAGCCCCGTTACTCTCTCTTTTTCTTCTGAACTGGTCTCCTACCTTCGTGTGTGTGTGTGTGTGTGTGTGTGTGTGTGTGTGTGTGTGTCCCAACAAGTTTAACTACCATTAGTTACAAAACATGAATGAGGAGCGTAGACACCTTGCTGTGATAAGACCCCTAAAGAAAATGTCTCTCCCTTCCCAAGTAAACATCAACCTCCTGTGAGTTCTCAGGTAGGAGTGGGGGCCTCACGAGCCCCTACCCACTTTCATGGTTGGATACTGACAGGCTCAAGTCATGGGCAGGTAATCATAGCTTTTATTAGTTCAACAGTGCTGCAGTCATATCACGCCCAGACAGTGTTCTGCAATATTCCACCCCATCCTCTTCTAGCATCGGTAAGAGCCTTTTGGCTTGTAACGCAAAGCCTTGTGCTCTTGCAGAGCCGTCTGCCTCACTCTGCAACATCCATCAGGATGCTATCCAAGGATGGGTTAGCCGTCTCACGTTCTGCGAAGGTGCTGAGGACATGCGCTACGGCGGTGAGGGTAAAGTGCATCTCCTCTTTCTCCGCTGCCCATACACCTGCACTGTGGTCTTACCGACGGGAAGGGAACAATTACTGCGTGGTTCTGGATCTTCTCCTTACAGGCTTCTCCAGAGGGGAACAGTGAAAGCTATTAGCTATAAGCTGTGACAAGGTTGGGGGAGGGGCTGTTATCCTTGCTTCTCATTTGCATCATTCCACAGTCTTTGATGTGTGAAAGATCTGAACATAACTTTTACTCCCCTTGCTTGAGAATCACGTTAGGAAGCTTAGCAAAAGAATGCGATTCAAGACGTGGGCACACAGGGCCAGTGGGATGGCTCAGCGGGTAACAGAGCTTGCCCCACTGCACAGCAACCTGAGTTTGATCCCTGGAAAGAGAGAACTGACTCTCCCAAAGTTGCCCTCTGACCTCCACTTGAGCAGCAAATAAAGGAGTGAATATGTACCTCTCTGGAGGATTTTGGAAAAAAAAAGTGGAAAGCAAAGCAACAACAACAAGATTTTGGCGCATAATTATGTATAATATTCCCTCCAAACCAAAAATACCAAGCTGGGTCATCACTCTCCTCTATTCAAAAGGTGGCCCTGTGTTGCCTCTCTGCATTAGAAAAGTGCTGGCTCACCTTGCCTTGTCCTTTAACCCAGCAGCATGGTAGAGCAGGATATATTCTCCCCATCAGTTCCATGGTGGCAGTGATGTACCCGCTGGCACTTCCTACATTGTCTTGGGTCTTGGGCTTCAGTGCAGTAAAGAGCTTGTCCATCTCTCAGGAGTGTGTTCAGAAATGCTGTTGAGATTTTAAGGTTCTGCTTTTAACTGTTCACATGCTGCACCAAAGGGTTTACTTAGTGACTATCTTAGTGTTTTCTAAACTAAACGATCTTGTTCCTTCAGGATTTGGGCCACAGCTTCCATTTGTGCTATTTACCCCTCAGTGTGATTAAGTGGGCTCATTTCTTCAATTAAAATAAATTTACTTAGATCATAATGCGTCTAGGGAAGGGAAGTCAGACTTGCTACATAATAGGTGACAACCAGAAAGCAAGACAGAACAAATTAAATACTATAATACATCAAGATGGTGGGGTAGTCCATTGTCTACAAATACCCCCCAATCAAGACTGCTTCTCTGACTGTGGAGGGCACTAGCATTTTCCCTTCAGCTACAGAAGTGACATCTGCTTGTCATTGTTTGACATTTCGTAAAACCATGTCCAAGATACTTTGAATATCACTCTCCTACGACTATCAACTTGAGACGTGCTTCTGAACTCTTCTGATACAGTACTCCTGAGATGGATCAGGGGTTAAGAGCACTAGGTGCTCTTCCAAAGGACCCATGTTCAATTCCCAGCCCTCACAGAGTGGTTCACGATTGCTTGATATAGTATTCCTCTAAGAAAGGAAAAAAGTAGACACTCAAGAATGGAGACTCGCCAAATGTGGGACATTCCTTTGTCAGCTCCGGTTTTTCTCTTTTGTGCCACTACCCCAAACACCACCCTGCACAAGTATTGCGTGGTGCCATGCAATTTCCAGAAGTAATGTCCCTGAACCTGTGTGCTAATACAACTCTACTCAATTATCGAAAAACTTGACTCAAAGAGATGAGTTGAATTTCTAGACTTACAGGCACTGTGGGAGGACAGTGAGGGAGTTTGGGAGGCAGGAGCAGGTTCATTTAACAATGCAGTAGCATCATAGAGCAAGGTGCCTAGCATCCTCCTCTGGCTTCTGCACACATGCAAATGTGGACCAGCACCTACCTGCACATGCATATGCACATACAATACAAACTGGATTCTGAGATGAGTGAAATGCCTCACTGGATCTCTCCATTTATCTGGGTTCTTTTTGTGTATGCATATGCATGTGTACATGTGCTTTGTGTGTACATGTATGTACATGGGTATATGGGAGAAGCCAGTGGAGTATGTCAGGTATCCTTCCTGAGTCCACAGTTTTTAGCTATTTCCATTTCTGCAAACACAAGTGATAGCTATGATGGAGAATAATTCTATTTTCTTGTGCCACTTCTAACCAGACACCAAGCACAGATAAAACTAATACACAATGCTCAAAATACGTCGCTAAATAAGTTACTCTTGTGTGAGTTTTATTGGACAATTTATCATCAAAGTGCTTTGTTTCCCTGTGAAAGACCAGAAACTGACTCTGTGAATCAACCTACTTGATCGTTGTTTTCTGATTGTACAGGGTATGCTATTTTACTTTTCAAATTCAAGCTTATTACTCAAGAGGTTCAGAGGTGTCCTAGAAATCTACCACACTGCTGGAAACCTGCAATTGTATGGATTTTCATATGCATACAAATCAGCAAATTTTTTAGATTTTTTTAAGAAAAGATATCCTTGACCTGCCAAAAAGTTGAGAAATAGCGTATTGAACTAACCTGCCATTTTTGTGGGGCTACAAGTACACATTTGGTGTCTGCTATGACTCCATCTATTATAGAAATAAACAAAACTGCCTGACCTCAGAAGGCTTTTCCTTCTGAATGTATCATGACGATGATAACTTTTCCTACCTGTCTCTTGAAAACACTTTCACACAGTTCACCAAAAGCCCTCAGTCTTTGAAGTCAACGATATAATAACATATTTTGCATATCTGGTGCATTGTATCTCATACTAAATCCTTAACATTGGACTGAAAAGATGGCTCTTCAGGTTAAGGGACAGCCAGAGCTCCATCTCTGGGATCCACATAAAGGCAACAACTCCTGAAAGTTATCTGCAAATTTCCACATATCCACATAAGAGTCATGACACACACACACACACACACACACACACAAACACACACACACACACACACACAGAGAGAGAGAGAGAGAGAGAGAGAGAGAGAGAGAGAGAGAGAGAGAGTTAAATTAAATACAGCAAGATATCCTTATCCCTGAGCATTTCCACATTTACTGAAACAGATCTACGGATTCAATTACTCTTTGACTTTGACTATTGCCATTTAAAAATAAGAGATAAAATTTTAAGAACTGTCAAATAGTCCCATTTGTTCCAAACTATAGGTTGGACTTTAATGTGTGTCATTGAGATGTGAGACTTGAGTGTATGAATTCTTTTTTTTTTTTTTTTTTTGGTTTTACGAGACAGGGTTTCTCTGTATTGTTTTGGAGGCTGTCGGTCCAGCCTGGCCTCGAACTCACAGAGATCTGCCTGCCTCTGCCTCCCGAGTGCTGGGATTAAAGGCGTGCGCCACCACCGCCCGGCTGAGTGTATGAATTCTTTAGAGGACCAGGATATTTCAAAACAAACTCTTGTTAAGATGTAAAGCAGCCTCTTGCGATTTGAAGGCATCCTGTAAGCACTATTCTGGTTCTACATGTATAACTATCCTGGATTTTTCTGATACAGTCTTAATGAAAGTACTTTCCCATCAGAATACACAGGAATCCAAATATTTCTTCATCATCATAAAGTAATCATCTCTCATTGCTTTTTTGCATGGAAAACTCTCCCTAGAGTCCAGCCTTCTCTTTCAGTAGATATGATCTTTCCAGTTATATAATACATTAAGATTTGGGAGTATGGTTTTCAGGCATTAGCTTAGTCTTACCCATTCCTGGTATTACAAATACTCAACTCCAAAGAGAGGATTGAAATAGTCTTTTTTTTATTTCCAGGTGTTGTCACTTTGTATCTTGGTATTTCTATCAGTTTATAAGCTGAGGAACTAGAAGGTCAGTTTTGGGGAGAGTCTTTGCACATTGGGTCTAGGGAACAGGTAAATGAGGGAGTGTCCTGGGAGGACAGCATGAGCATGAAGGACACTTGGGATGTGTTGTCTTCATCTCAGCACCCTTCTCAAGTACTTCTGGGATTACAGACATGGTCTAAAGAATGGAGGAAAACAGAAATTCTACCTTTAAATGAGCACATGTTATTGTAGCTGATTGCCTGCCTCTCTTCCTCTCTTCCCCCGCCCTCCTCTTTCCCTCCCTCCCTCCCTCCCTTCATTCCTCTTGTTTTTTCAGTAAATATTTATGCTAATGCTAGGCTAGCATTGGTGAAACACAATAAATGGCCACCTTGACCTTACATTCAAACAGAGGAAACTTTCAAACTGGGCAGGAGTAGGGCAGAGTAAAATATAAAGAATAGTAGGTGGAGGAAAGAATGTCTTCAGAGGAGAAATTTAAAGAGAGGAGAGAGAGGAGAGAGAGAGAGAGAGAGAGAGAGAGAGAGAGAGAGAGAGAGAGAGAGAGAGAGAGAGAAGGAATGCCTTCAAATGATACCAGCTGTCCTACCCTTGTTGTGTAAGTGGCTGGCCATTTTCTTGTAACTGCATGATAGAGAACTGGGCTCATCAGTACTGTTTCTTATTTTAAGGGCACTGACTTGGTCACAACAGCAAAAGCTTCACCTTCATGACCTAATTACAACCCAAAGAACTCACTTCCTAAAACTGGCACATTGGGGATTTCCATTTCAACCCAGTGAATTTTTTTTGAAAGTGTTCAGATGTTCAGTCCAAAACAGAAGGCCTCATTGAAAAGGTGGCATTCAAATAGAGTGCTAAATGAGTTAAATGGGGGAAAGAGTGAGTAAGCCTCATAGCCAGAGGAATACAATTATGAAGAAATTCAAAATCCAAAAATGGGAGTGATAATGGAGAAAAATGAGCAGGCTGCATTGAGAAACAAAGAAAAAAAAACAAAGCAAGCAAAGTGGCTAAAACAGAGAGAGTAAGGGGAAATTCAGTCCCCAGGGGCACATTGTGCTTTGTAGGTCATTATTACCATCTATAGGGTATGTATAGTGTATGTATGTATATTCACATGCATACATACTAACACATGCATGCATACATAATTATTTCCCAAAGGAGCTAAGATGCTCATAAGAATTTTGAAGAAGCCCCACACCTCCCCCAAAACATGCATGACCTGGCTTACATTTTGCTAGGAATGTCTTGACTGATATACACATCAGCGAGGTACCAGATAATAACACTTTGTACCAGCTCTAAGGGTGATGGAAAATGGTAGGATCCAAGGTTTCCTTTGTGTTTTGTTTTGTTTTGGTTTTTCTTTTCCTTTTATTATTATTTTGTTTTTTTACATTCCAATCCCAGTTTCCTCTCCGTCCCCTCCTCCTGCTGCCCCTACCACCTCCCATCTGCTCCTCAGAGAGGGTAAGACCTAAATCTGTCCCTTCATCTCATTGAGGCAGGACCAAGGCACCTCTCCACCCCCAAACCCCTGTGTCTAGGCTGAGCAAGGTATCTCTCCATATAGAATGGGCTCCACTAAGTCAGTTTGTGCATTAGTGCTAGATCTTGGACCCACAGCCAGTGGCCTCATATATTGTCCCAGTCACACCATTGTCACCTATATGAAGGGGGTCTAGCTCAGCCTTATGCAGGTTCCCCATTTGTCATACCTGAGTCAGTGATCTCTCACTAGCTCTCGTCAGCTGATTCTATGGGTTTCCCCATCATGGTCTTGACTCCTTTGTTCATATTATTGCTCCTCACTCACTTCAATTGTATTCTGGGAGCTTGGCCCTTTGGTTAGTTGTGGATTTCTGCATCTGCTTCCATCTGTTTCTGGAAGAAGGTCCTAGTTTCTCTGGGGTTGTGGATTGTAATCTGGGTATCTTTTGCTTTATGTCTGGTATCCACCTATGAGTAAGTACATACTATGTTTGTCTTTTTGGTTTTGGGTTACCTCACTCAGGATGGTTTTCTTCTGTTCTGTCCATTTGCCTGCAGATTTTAGGATGTCATTGTTTCTTACCACTGAGT